CGAAGACAACTATGAGTTTCGCAAATTAAGACAAACTATGAAGCGAGGATATATTTTACGGACAAGCCTTGAATCGTTTTATTTAACGTAGTCGTGGTATCCATGTACTTATCGTAAACTGAAATATGAATTTATAAGGAAGAAGCTAAGCTAAATGCGAATAGACAAACCAACATTCCGATATAAAGGCGAGATGCAAAGCTAGCTAAAAACTCAAACAAACTCACAAAAGAACTATATATAAGCTCAAGGAAAGGAACATTAGCACTTATATAACAGTCCCGCTTGTAAGAATTGAACCAAAACGAACTTCAATATAAGGTAGGTATTCGGAAGCGAAACGGAAAATCCAAACAGGCACTTTTACTCTAACACAGGAAACTGTAGTCTTACGGTAAACGACAACAACCATTAAACAAACCGCCAAACGATGAACTAAAAAACTTCAACTACTCTTCTCTAAAAATCGCACACGTCAACATTAAAAAGGGTCCGCGTGATTTGCTTACGAGATTACTTCGTAATCTCAAAGCACGCGCTCGTGAGTCGCGCGCGTACAAGTTTGTTAACGCCTTCTTAAGGTAGTTCGTACCAGTTTCCTCGCGCGGAGAACAGGTCACTCTTACGTGACGCGCGCGAGAGAAACGTGCGAAAGAAGCGCGGGATCAAAAGATGAAAATTCAAAACAAAGATGGCGGCGCGTGGAATTTTTTCTACTTTTGTAAGAAGTTTACCTAAGAGCTTGTATTTGATGTGTTGAGCGGCCACTGTGAATGCAGGAGATAGAAACTAAGATAACGAAGACGATTCTCGGAGAAATAAAGGTTGCTTCACTTCACATTTAAAAGAAATATTCAACCGATATGAAATCTCGCGACGGCGAAAAAAAAGAACTCAAGTGAAGGATAATCTACCTAAAGTGGAAGGAGACTTTGAAACTTCAAGGAAGATCATATGATATAGCCAGAAGTCATGTGTAGGATTGTGTAGGATGAGCTCGGGAGGCTGTCTTTGACGGCTGTTTAATGATTTTCTTAGCAGTAAACGTCTGTAAACATCAGATCGTAGGTGCTCGCGCTAGCATACGCAATTGTCAGCGGTAGCTAAAACAGATCATGAGCAAATGTCGATCTTATAGAATCCAGATTTTTAAATGCGCGAGAACGTGCGTGGAAATTGCTAAACTCACGAAAGCTATTGCATGAAAACAAGTCCGGTGACCCCTTCTTTTTATTGTTCCAATATGGTAATAACGTCGAAAGGAATCATCAGAAAAAAAAACTAGAAAATTCTACGGAAGGAAATTTGCGATGTGTGAAAATTGCCCTTTTTGTAGATTTTCTGAAATTCCGCTCCGTAGAATTTTTTAAAATCTTTGTGCATTTTCCTTTTCAAGTACCAAAAGTAATCAGGGGGTCGCCGGGTAAGTGTTCAACTGGCCTTGGTTAGTCTTTCTGTTGTATTCTTTCAAAGTTACAAACCATCAAAAAGATGAAAATCGGTACGAGCCACCTTAACAGTAGACAAAAGGCGTGGTAGCCGTTACAGTAATATCGGTCATATTAGCAGAAAACATCCCTTCTTCCACGGGAAAGTGTGCTGTTCCGCGCGACCAAAACTGACCCCAGAACAAGAAAGCGTAATTATAAACGCAGGAGTGTACGTCGAACATCTTTAGGTAGATGTGATGTGATGCAAGGTTCGTTGCAAATCTCCTCTTGCATCATTGCATAGTAACATTTATTTCGAATTCAGTTTGTATTTCAGGCTTTTGACAACTTAATTCCACCGACTTCATTTTAATTTTTAAATATTTATATTTATAGCCAAAATATCGTTTCAATACTTAAATAATTTTTAGAATTATTGTTTGTTGTCATTAACAGTTACAGTTACAGTTGCAGTTAAAGTTAGCAGTTTCCAGTTTCAGTTGTCTGACATACAGAGTAAAGAAAAAATGTTTTGTTCTATTGTCTAGTTTTGCAGGTTTAGTGAAAATTTCATTGCCAATCAATATAACAAGGTTTACATACCGTCAATAAATATATCTTTATTTAGTGTTACAAGGAACGTTTCAATATTTCTTGAATTGTTAAGAGCTTTTTACGGCCTTAATAGCCTTGTAATTCCTGATATCTCGATGCAAAAAATACATACCCCTCGGACCTCTGATATAAAGTGTGTGTGTGTGTGTGTGTGTGTGTGTGTTGGTGAGTGAGTGTGTCTGTGTGTGTGTGTGTGTGTGTATGTGTGCGGGAGGGGGGGGATAGGGGACAAGGGGGATTCGATGCCATCCCCTCAGATTTTGCAAATTTTGGAAAGGGGGATTTTACTCTGTTTCTGAAACTTTAAGCAGCTTTTGGTTTATAGCTTGCGGAATTTTTTAATGTGTCAACTGTCCCAAAATTCGACATTTTAAACGTAATTCTTCTAGTTTCTCAACACGAAATTACAAAATTTCTGGCTTGATTTTGCACTGATTTTTTGCCATTTCTTATAACCAACTAAGGTGAAATAGTAAATAGGCCATTTTACAGTTGTGTACTTAGTTGCCTTGATTTGGAGTGAGGCTGGAGGTGACCTTGTCATGATATAGACCTGTATCTAGTTAGCATGATAAAGTGATTTACATTTGAAAAGCAGTAAGGTTTGTATCAGAACAAGGTCATCCCAAGCCTCACTCCCATTCAAAGGCTTGGCAACCAAGCATACAACTGTAAAATGGACTATTCAAGATGGCGGATCTGATGACGTCATACACCGTCAGCGCCATCCAAAATATATTGTCATTTTGTAGCGCAAGCTAAGGGTTTTGCACTCCATGTTAATTTATTTTACTGTGACTAAATTTAACGAAAGCCTTGGGGGTCGATCAACATCCCGCCGCCCCCCCCCCCACTCAGACTGAACCGGGTACGTGTTTGCTGACGTAAAAAATGCTTGCAAGGCTTATAATTAGAGCTTCCTTTAAAAGAAAAACATTCGTATTACTCGTATGTATTCGTATCTATCCGTACGTTAGTCGTATGTATCCATATGTTAGTCGTATGTTATTCGTATGTATCCGTATGTTACTCGTATGTTACCCGTATGTACTCGCGTGGTGTATCCATATGTGGTGTATCCATGTGGTGTATCCATATGTTAGTCGTATGTTATTCGTATGTATCCGTATGTTACTCGTATGTTACCCGTATGTACTCGTGTGGTGTATCCATGTGTGGTGTATCCAT